GGTGCTGGCGAATGGGAGGTCACATCAGGCGGCGGCCGACCTGATGTCGCAAGCGGTTGCGACTGTCGTTGCAAGGATACGGCAGTTGGGACTCGAGGTGGCGCTTCACAAGTCCGAGGCCATGTGTTTTTATGGCCGTCGGAACGCGCCACCTCCAGATGGGTCCCAAATAACGGCAGGAGTTACCATCGGCGTCGAGTCGGCGATGAAGTACCTGGGTCTCGCCCTCGACAGCCGGTGGAGCTTCACGGAGCATTTTCGTCGTTTGGCTCCTTAGTTGGAACGGTCTGAGGCCGCGCTCAAGCGGCTCCTTCCCAACCTCGGAAGGCCAAACGCCTCCTGCCGGAGGTTGTATATGGGGATTGTGCGATCCATGGCCCTCTACGGGGCCCCTGTGTGGGCGCCGGACTTGAGGCGGCGGCCAGCTCGTACGCTGGTCGCGTCCCAGAGGGTCATGGCTATCCGAATAATCCGCGGTTATCGTACGATCTCCGAGTAAGCGGCAAACTTCCTTGCCGGATCACCGCCGTGGGATCTAGAAGAGAAGGCGCTCGCGCGCGCGTATAGTTTGCGCGCAGACGCGCGTCGCCGGGGCGAGGATCCTCTGCCGCGCCAAATTAGTGCGTGGCGGAATGAGCTCCGGCGAGATCTCATGGCTGAGTGGAAGCAGCGTCTGTCGCAACCAAGGGCCGGGCACGCTACTATAGCAGCGGTAAGACCCCTCTTTGAGGAGTGGCTTGAGAGACGCCACGGCGTCCTCACCTTCCGCCTGACGCAGGTGCTTACCGGGCACGGCAGCTTCGGTAGGTTTCTGTTTCAGATCCAGCGGGAGGAAACGCCCGGTTGTCATCATTGCGAAGACCACCTAGGGGATATGGTGGAGCATAAAGTGGCGGCATGCCCTGCCTGGGCTGAGCACCGCCGTGTCCTCAGGGAAGTGATCGGCGGCGGCGACCTCTCGCGCCCGGCTTTAGTCGAGGCTATGTTGCGGAGTGAGAAGAACTGGGACGCCGTCTCCTCCTTTTGCGAAACAGTTATGCACGCAAAGAGGGAGGCGGCTCGCGTGAGGCTATGCCCCAGCCCCCGCAATAGGCGACATTCCGGGCGTCGGGGATCGAGAGATGATCTCCGGCCACCGTAAGCGCGGGTCTGCGGTCGGCGAGTAAGGGCAGCTCGCCGCCCGACCAGAACCAGGCCCGAGTGTACGGCGCGTAGTGTTCCGCGCGCACCAATTGCGCGCAAGCGCAATGAGGCACCGCGACCTCGGCCCAGAGCAGGAGAAGGAACAGGGGGGTTTTTAGTCAGTAAGAGTCTGACACTCCTTTCCGCTCGGCCTTGGGCGGGAGAACTCATTTGATGATTTTCCCCTCACAAAACAATATCCGTTTTCTGAAAATATAGGCCCACGCAAATGCAAGGTTATTTACTGGTGTACTTTGCGATGATTTCTGAAAAGTATTTCTGCCAATATTAGGTGCATATCAAAACTATATAATTATGTACATTCAATTATAATACAATAATACAGGCTCGTAAATTCGCAATACTACAATAATATCTAACACAGTACAGTATAATATAATATACAGTAATAATTATAAGTAAACAACCTATTGCAATTACCTAATTATACAGTACATGCAATCATTTGCTGGAGGGTCCACGCAGACAATACTTCCCAGTACGTATTATACGAGTACCTAAGCGAGAATTACGGAGATATTATATAATCTGACATTAAATGTTCGGTAATTTAAAAAAGCAATAAATACTCTTTTCTTACCATACACACAAGATTCGTGAAACGAGAACAGAATTGATGTAGGTACGAGGTATGTTTTAACTACAAAATTCCTGTCTTCTTAACGACGTATTTCTCAATCTGTATCGTAGGAGACTTAAAATATAGTGTTAAATATATTAATATAGCTTAAATCATCAAATCAAAACGACGAGGATCGGTGAACTAAGTGTGCTGTTTTTTTTAAATATTCGTGCAAATCCAAGGCAGGCGGAAAAATATTAGAAAACTACCGTAAAAACTGCTCTATAAGTACCTTCCACGTTTTTCCACCGGTTTGGGTCGCAGTACCAGATTAGTATCATATGTATGTCTTATTCCAGACTATAAGCTATCTCTGTGTCATTTTCATTCATATACAGTTAGTCAGTAGTTTTTACGAGAAAGAGTAACAAACGTCCATCCGATACTTGCATTTTTTCTCCTATATAAATGGAGTAGGATGAACTATTTGCTGGGTCAGCAAAATAAAAACAAATGACACGTCAATGACGTCACGCCCAAAATGACAAGGACAGTAATATATCGTGTTCTTATTCTGAATCCAAGTTATTGCCGCCTCTAAACTTTCTCGTTTATATAAATAAAAACAAATGACACGTCAATGACGTCACGCCCAAAATGACAAGGACAGTAATATATCGTGTTCTCATTCTAAATCCAAATTATTGCCGCCTTTAAACTTTCTCCTATATAAATAAAAACAAATTACACGTCAATGACGTCACGCCCAAAATGACAAGGACGGTAATATATCGTGCTCTTATTCTGAATCCAAATTATTGCCGCCTCTAAACTATCTCGTTTATAAAAATAAAAACAAATGACACGTCAATGACGTCACGCCCAAAATGACAAGGACAGTAATATATCGTGTTCTTATTCTGAATCCAAGTTATTGCCGCCTCTAAACTTTCTCGTCTATATAAATAAAAACAAATGACACGTCAATGACGTCACGCCCAAAATTACAAGGACAGTAATATATCGTGTTCTCATTCTAAATCCAAATTATTGCCGCCTTTAAAATTTCTCGTTTATAGAAATAAAAACAAATGACACGTCAATGACGTCACACCCAAAATGACGAGGTCGGAAACATATCGTGTTCTCATTCTAAACCTAAATTATTGCCGCCCTTAAACTTTCGTTTGAATAAAAACAAATGACAAGGATGGAAATATATTGTGTTCTTTTTCTAAATCCAAATTATTCATCATCATCATCAGCCTATAAGTGCCCACTGCTGAGCAAAGGCTCTCACACGGAGAAGGTTAGAGCATTGATCATCACGCTTGCTCAATGCGGGTTGGCGATTTAAAACTTATAATTAGCAATTATAAGTCTCGGTTTCCTCACGATGTTTACCTTCACCGTATGTCGGTGGTGTCTAAATAATCAAAGAAAGTACATATAACTCGGAAAAAGTCACATTGGTACTTGCCAGGTTTAGAACCCATACCGTCATACATGAGAAGCGGGCTCCTTAACCTCCGGGCCACCACGACATTATTATCATTATAATCCAAATTATTGCCGCCTTTAATTGAGTAAATTCTTAAAAAACCATATAATGTCGCAGCCTAACAAGCTTTCGTCATCATTATCGGAAAATAGACTCTTGGTAAAACTGGAGCGGGCTGCCAGTATATAATATACATAATTATATGTCAAAGAACACACTTTTTAAAACTCAGAATTTCAGTTATAAAAGAAATCGACTCAAGATATAATAAGTTACAGGAATTATAGAATAAAAAAAAACATACATTCCATATTTAAATAGTTTTTATTAGTTTATAAAAACGTCAACGTTCACATACACACATTATTTACAATTCATACAAAGTTAACAGATGGAATGAACTCTAGATTGACACTTAATAATAATTAAACCTTACACAACTTATATCAAGAACTAATTCTAAATGGTAAAATCAATCACAGTCGGTTTTGTATTAAAATTTGACATAACGGAATAATATTTTTTATGTGTATTGTTCATACAATCATGTTTACGTGTTTATAAACAATAAAGTGCAAATGTTATATTTTATAAACACAATAAATTTTTAGTTTGTCATTTATTTATATATTCCAACTCATTTAGACGGAAAAAAATTCGTGGTAGATAGTAATGGTAGACTTAGATTTCCTCTCTTCATGAAATACTTTAGAGATAGAGGCAGTATCAAGTATGAAATTTAAGTAAAATGTTACCCGGCACCTTTTTTATGTGAGGGGAAAATCATCAAATGACTTCTCCCGCACTAGGAAGTAGTGTCAAACTGTTACTGACTAAAAACCCCCCTGTTCCTTCTCCTGTTCTGGGCCGAAGTCGCGGTGCCTCATTGCGCTTACCCCGCAACCCCGGCTGTTCCCTACACCCTTATACTCAAGTGTTAGACACGATACTGGGGTGGTTTTTGGTCAGTAAGTAGAGTCTCACCAGAGTCAGACCCCTTAACGAAAGGGCTATATAAGGATTTTCCACACTGGAGACCAAATAAGTATTGTAAATACTGATACAGCACAACTTGTTTTAGGATACAGATAATTTATTCAAACTTGCTATTTTTATTTTTAATGGGATGTTCCCGCCGAAACCACCCAAAAATACTAGAACTCCAGCAAACTAAGCAAAAAAAAAAAGCAAACTAACTGAAGCTGACGACATAAATCCAAATATATTATTTGAAGAGAAGTAAAACGTAGATTTCCATTTCCCACACTTAATTACAGAGGAGACAGAATATCCAATCCTTTAAGGCAAAAAGACACTATAACACTGGGACGGGCCCAGTCGCCAAAAACCAGAGAAAAGCGATTAAAAACTTAATGGGTCCTATGTGAGCTATTAATATGGCTATCAATATCATATCAATTCATAAGTAGCACAACTTCTGTTCAGTTTTTTTGTATAACGAAACTCCTACATCTAAACTAATAGTCACAATAACATCTATTTAATAAATTATAACTAGTTTTAGGACTACTATTTTTCCGTCCAGCGGAAAATCTTAATACTAAGCCTTTCTATAATACTATTATAGGTATACCTGCTAATGTTTAGGTACAAAAAATATTTATATTATATCCTCTTTTTATACATATACAATATCTAAAGTATTGCTTATATTGATATAGCAAAAGACAGCACAAGTTTTTGAATAACAAACAATATTCCTACAATTTGTTTCACCATTAAAATCTAGTTAAATTTGTTGAAAATGATGACTTATTCAAGTGAATTAGCTAAAAAAAGCTCTTCTAATATCAAATCGCATCGGTCGCGCAGACCGACATCGGCTGCGTGACGTCACCGTGAAGCGCACGCTGCTCATGGATAAGAGTCCCGTTGTGACTTGAAAGTAGTAGAGCTTTTCTCGTTCGATGCACGCGAGCAAGTCTTTTTGAATAAATTCAGTATGAATTCTAGTACAAATTTTGATCACATATAAAATACATAAAATAATCCATAATTCTTAAGATTAAAAACTAAAACGCTGTAGTATCGCTACCCATGGTTTGTGCTTCCTCGGTCGAACCTGCAACAATTATGTTAAATTGAAAATTGAACGTCATTGTATTGCGGGATGCAATCGAAATAATTTGCCCGCCAAACGAATTATTCTGATTGCATATTAAACCACCGATTGGCGTGATTCCAATAATGCTTAATAAACCATACCGTACTATCAATATGTCACGTTCAACTGCCAAGTAATGAGTTATGTTTATAGAGCTATCAAACGTTTTACACTGTGGCAGACGAGTGCTATATTAACCTTCTTTTTAACAATGGACTATTTTTATCTAAACTCGTCTTTATTTGTGACGCAATACGATTCAGTTTTGAAACTTAAAGAGAATGTAAGAAAAACTCTTTATGAAAAGAAAACAGTATAAGTAATAAGAAGACGCTAAAGAATCAGGTAATACCATACAAAATTGTTCCTACATTTGACGTCACACCGAAGCACAAATATTGCAAGTTTCCCCATTAACTTTTACGACAGGACCGTGGACAACTGAGTGAACATTGCGAGCTTCTTTTCTTAGGAGAAAGAAACAATAATGTAAGTAATAATGTTCACGAACAAAACACGAGTTGAGAACTACAATAATAATTTATACGCTAATGAAATGTTATTCGAGATGTTAATATTGCAATCTTTATGAAAGCAATTCTATGGCGTAACACGTCTATTTAAATTTACGCGATGTTACCTATTCCGAAACGTTGCGTTTCATTTGTTAGATGAAATTCATGCGTAAATGATTTAATAGTGGAAGTTGTATTGAAATATTAAACTGTTTTAGTAATATTTATAGTACACGGCTAATACATAGTCAAACTAATCGTACTGCGATTCTACTTTATACTCAAAGATATCCTTTTAAATTGGTGTAAATTGTTCCGTCACGCCTTGTGCGTGTTTTGTACACATAACGGTGAATAGAGAATGTGCCTGTTTACCCACATTTCACCAATTATGATCCCATGTTATTACATATCACCCCCTACTGCCAGAAACCGGGCACAATCCTAGGCTCCGTGCCACTATTACGTGCCACACTTTGCCCAACCTCGTAATCGAACTCGCTCAGTAGGCGACCTTGCGAGTGCCCGACCATCTAAAAGTTTTAATAGGTAGACCAAAAGGTTCGTGTTTCATTCATTATTCATCAAAAAGCGAAATGATTATCTTTATTATGGCCTATGGAGAAATTCAATATAAAATTAATTCAATACGGGCATTGACAGAAACAAATGAATGTAAGTAAGGCAATTTGTACATACCTTTTAGGAACGGTTTCAACTGGTTGCTGTCACAGAATATAGGTTCAGGAAGCACTTCAGACAATTGCTCTTTGACCGCCTGCCGTGCGTTACACCAAATAACACGACCTACACGTGACCAGTCTTGTACTAACATTTTCATACTCTGAAACAATAAAGAAAAAGAACATTGTAATATGGGCAAACGAACAAACTGATGACCTGATGGTAAGTAAACTGTGACGCCCATTGACACCCTCAAAACTAGAGAAGATTCAAGAAAGTACGTTACAGGACTTATGAAGGACTTATAAGGGATTTGAGGTTTGGGCATGGGGGCAAGGATTGACTTTCTGGTAACCTCATTCACACGACAAAACAACGCAAAAGTTGCTGCGAACTGGTTTCCTTCGAAGCCGATCATTCCGGTCTAGCCGACTCATTCGTGACTACTGAAGCATAGCTCTCCAAAACTCAATCTACTTAGTACAGCTACCTACTCCAGTTATTTTTAAAAACGAAACATACTTAATAAATAAGTTATTATTATTTAGAACCCGGTTTGTTCGTTTTAATTGAATTATCAATTTGATCCTTTCTAATCGCTTATTTCAAGCTATGGAACATTAATTAACAAAAATAATCTATAGATATAATTTACATTCATCAAGTAAAGTTACTTCAAAAACAAAATACTGCTACATGGTATACACAGAATTTTAATAAAGTTCTTTTCTCTTAATTTCTTAGAACACCAGAATAGACGCTTTGATATTTTCACTTCGTATTAAAACTACTAGGTACTATTTTATCTTAACAGTTGATACAAGTATTTAGTATTCCGACCTCATAAATCACGTTAATAGCTTTCTAAATAAAATTTTAAGATGGAGATGAACTAAAAAAAAATATTTTAGCATGTAAAACGTAGTGATTATTTTTACTTAAGACCCGCTTCGTGTGCTGAATATTCAATGCTTCCATCGTTTTCTTTCATGGCATAGATGGACATCTGACCTGACGGAGTTGTTGAAGTCTGTTGCCGACTCATTGGAGGAATTTGAAAATTTGGAGATTTGGGGAAACGGGGATGGATGGATGGGATGGGGCTTCGGTAACCTCATTAACACAATGACACGAAACGCTGTGGTATCACTCCGCTCGAGCTATTTGTGTCGAAGCATAGCTTACACTTAAAACTATTTATTGAATGCCGTTAAAAAAAATCAATATAATCCTTATTGTTAAAAACAACAAGAACATTTAATTTTCTGGCGGGAATTGGTTATAAGAATAGACTTAGTTCAAGTTTATAGAATCACCAACTTTAGCAAGACTCATGCCATGCCCACCTACACACATTTGAAAACATTGAACTCTCATTAATATTCATAAAACCCTAAGTACATACTTATTGTTTGATAAATTGATATCAGCTGTTACGTGTCTGTCAATAAAACGTCCAAATGAGAATGTACTACGTAAAAGAAAAGTCGAACTTGCCTAACTTACATTAACTTTAATATTGGTAGCTTTCAAATATGTATTTTAACGTTCAAATATTTTACTCGTTTAGCCTTCGTAACTTCGTTCTACTACTCCTCTAGGAATCAAGATTTTATATTATTAGATAAAACTCGGGTTTATAGCGAAGTACCGATCTCAAGTCTAGATGGGGTTAGGTATACTTAAATAAACTAGCTCCGCCCGCAGTTTCACACGAGTGCTCCATTCCGGACTGATGTTTCATAGCCTATAACCTTCTTCTGAATTAATATATCAAAACCAATACTTTTCCGTTGGTACTTCGGGAGATTATGATTAACTTTCAGGATTAGCAAATAAAAAGATTATCTTGTCTAAAAATAATCGAATTAATGATAGCTAATCCCTAACAGATAAGCCAGGGAAAACTTATATAAAAATTCGCACCTGATGGTCCTATCTCTTAACGTTACGCTTTCACAACCCTAAAAAATGAATGTCAGATCGAAACCATTAAAAAGTACATTAAGAGACAAGTACCTATAGTAAAATATGTTTATTTAATAAAGAGTAAATACGAATCGCATCCGATTTTCCAATGGGCACTTTAAACCGAGCCGCAGAGCGCGGAACAATATAATGACCGTATAAAACACCACCGTCCAACAAGTAACATCCATAAAAGTTATATCAACTTTGTACATAAAATTATGAAATTAAATTATGCACATATACAGTGGATACAATACTGCGGCGCTGTCTGTACTTTTAGATAACATCTACTTTAGTCAGAGATGGACATTATGTCTTTTATTACCCACTAAATTATTGTGCTTCTGCTCATTTTATCATAAAAGTAGGACAAGGCTTTTCGTACCCTTACTTTACTGGTTTTGTCAAATTCCAGGTCTCATTCTTGTACGAAACCAACCTTCAGTAGCAACTGAGATTTAAAAAAGCTAAAATAATAATTCGTAGGTATGCTTAATATAAAGGAGGCCTTTCTCAAACAAGAAAGTATTTCAATCTTAAAAAATATTTTACAACCTTATGGTTGAGGTTCAATTTTGAAATACTTTCTTTTATGACTTAATTTCGTTTTCTAATAGACATACAATATATAATTCTTTATCGGGCCCTATAATTCTAAAACAAGCCTAGACGCTCAACACCATGGAGCACAAATTATATTCAAACTTTTTAGCGCTACACATATGTGTATTACATAAAATAAGTTCCAGCACAATTAATATCGGAGCATAAATAAATATTAATAACATTTGCAGCAAGTAGCGCGCCTATTGCACGTTTTAACTCTGGTTGCGGTCGCCACATCAACATTGCATGTGATTTGACGTTGTGGTTTGCGGTCAATGGAATATTAAATTGACGCTAATTTTATACACCCAGTTTAGTTGGATATCTTTTGTTAATTTAGGCTAAACTAGAATTAGTTCATTTACTCTGGGTGTAGTGTGTAAACCAATTACTTACATTTTTCATTAATGAGGTTCATTTCTTTGTTATAACGGTAAATAAACAGAAGTGATCCAAGTATCCACCACTAACGAGACCTAAGTTGACTTAATAGTCCACTAAATGGAGACACAAAACAAAAATAAAAGACTGACAGCATATTGTTTTTTTTTGAAACAGTTGGCTACTTTATATTCCGCACACTATTATTAACGCACGGCGCATTAACGCACGCTGGTTTTAACCTGTGACACGGTGTACATGGGCCAGGTACATTCGTATACCATTTTTCCTAAGCATTATTAAGATTAGTTAAAAATGTCAAATGCTAAAACGCGAAATTATAACTTAAACTGAGTCCAAAACTTTTAAAATTGCATATTTTTGGTTGCGGTCTGATTATAATGGCACAGTATTTAATACACTATTTTATGATTTTATTACAGCTCTCGTTAGCGGTGCACATTTGGACCAGCTCCATACATTTTTGGTCACTCTATTTTGATTGTGTACATATCTATCGAAGAGTGAACACGAACATTGTGAAAAAAGTATCAAGTAAAGCCGCTTTCATTGTGTTGATCAGATCCATAAGGGCAGTGTTTTAGGTAAAGACGATCATATTTAATAATAAGCTTATCCGTCAATACCCCGAAGTATCAGCTGATAAAAAGAAAACATAAGTACAGATATATAGTATAAATAGTTTATTACTAAAGGTGGCTTTACGTTTCTCAGAATAGTACTTTGTGGATCAAGTTTCCAAGATAAAGAGTGCTCGGTACCTGCCTACGTAAGTGCGTGATACCGACCCTTTTATTCCCCATTTTCTTTCACAAAAGGCACAGATAATTCCAATTTAGGTACACAAAAAACATTTTGTATTTTAGTTTTCTTGGTATTACATTTTCCTATTTCCGATTGATTCAATGGAATACCAAATAATGACTTTCCATCAAAGGCTTCAAGTCGAAACCAAGGCTTAGGTACCTACTTCTATTCATAATATTTTAAGAGAATCCATTTATGATAATTTTGTTCTCGTTCTGTCTGCCAGACATTTTGATAATGTTTATTAAATAACCATGGTGCATTTATATTCACTTCATTACATTATTCATCTGTTTTCATAAATCCATTTGAAATCTCATGTAATGTTATATTTCCAAGTAATAATTAACTATCACGGGGATTGTATTTCTAATTCACTACCCATCCCGATAAAATATCTTACACGTGATTTCTCTGAGGTCGTTCAACTAAAACTCACTTGGTGGAGAGATAATTTCGTGATAACAACCCCGAAAATAGAATATGGAGGTTCCACTTGACCACCCGCGATAGACATGTAATATCGTCAACGGACCTTATACGGATCGCATGTCCTTTGTATAAACCTTAACGTTTTTTGTAGCGTCAAAATGGAATTCATAAATATACACCCTTTAAACACTATTCGAATATTTGATAGTCTGTTTTTTTTTTATATACGGAGAGCTGATTTTTCAATGGTATTATAAGTTACCTGGGGAATAATTATGATGCTGTCGCGTCAGAATATTTGTGTAAGACAGTGAGAGCAACTATTTTATTCCTCAGATAACATTTATCTGACTATCGAAAAATTAGCCCTTATACACAATTAAACGAAACTGTTACTATTTCATGTCAAAATGTCCGGTAGCTAAAATAATAATCGCGTTTTAATCATGCTTATTTACGCTCTGAAAATAAGACATGACCTAAACAAGATTTTGAAAATAATAAATTCTTCTATAGACCCATTAAATCCTATATGCAAAAAGATATATTGTGATGCATTGTAATTCTTAATTCATTCAACACGCAACAACCACGGGCCGGTACATTAATTAAAAGTAAACACAATTAATTTGTACAATCATAATCATTTGCTTTTCCGCCCTTATTACGCGACGCGGAAGTTTGTGCCCAAATATTATAATGTCCTTATAAGGCTAATTTATTATACCTACGTAGGTATAATAAATAAACATATATATAATAAGTAAATAAATACAAAATCACGGTACAGATAAAATGTGTAATAAACAAGATCCAAAGATAGCATCAAATTACAGACGAGAGAAACCCGCTATTTTTAGTTAATTTAGTATGTCTCACGATAGTTATTATAAAAACAAAAAAGATAGCATGTTAAGTGTCTCTAGAAGTACCTAAGAAAAACATAATTTTACCGAATCAAACACATGAACTGAATGAAACAAATGAAATTCAGCTAGCGTATAATAAAAAATATCAAACGTGATACCAATGTAATATGTTCTACTGATTACCTTTATCTATACGTGGAACTTTCAATAGACCATACTATTCAGAAATCGTTCATACCCATTTGTATAAGCGTATCTACAAGACAAGAAAGACATTGGTAGGTTGCAATAAACGAATTTACGACACATTGAAATATTTGAAAGATATCGACTTTAAAACAAAAAAAAACATTAGCAGTAAAACATGAGCTAGCCATTTGGTCGTAATGAATGGTTAAATGATGCCTAGCCTAGCTAGTGACCCGACTGAACATAATGTGATCGTTACCGCTAACATGTTTTGCTAACATCAGCTAAAAGGGTACATTTGTGGCTTATGCCTACTAATGATTTCATTTATCTTAATTTTTATATTTCCCGTGTTGATTTGAGCTATTTAAGAAATGGTATTCATGCTTTGATGTACAAGCCAAGCATATAGTTTTAATCAAATCAAATCAATCAAATCAAAATCATTTATTCCAAATAAACCATAAATAGGTACTTTTGAAACGTCAAAATAGAATAGTAGTCTGTCAGTCTGTTCGTCAGTGAAGCTAGGTTTACTATCTGAACATTCCCAAAATCGATTTATATCAAAATATAGGTTCTTCTTTGTATCCCTGTGCATATTTTATGTGTACGATTTTAAGAAAAACTCTATGCAGATTTTGCCCGAATCGAAAAACAAATTTAAAACAACGCTTAGTAGGCAAACTTTTATGTAAGCTCCTACATAGAAGACCTCTAACAATATCTAATTCCTCTACGGTACGTCACCATACGTCACCTTAAAGTAAGGGCAAAATAACGTCACACAAAAAATCCGCATTTAGAACCCGCATTAAATTGAGCTACATCATCATTGTCTATGTTATATAACAAAAGGCTGGTTGTAATTTCAATCACCCGTATATTCGTAAACAAGAAAATCTCAACGTAGGTACATAAGCAAGACGCCAACGCATATCGATTAACTTACACTATACAGTATTATGGTCTAAACTAAACTAAATGTATGGGGAGAAATTATATCAAGTCACGAATATGCGGAGTGTTAATATCTTGATTTATCGCACCTGGGTATCAATATGTGGGATGTGGATTCAGTAATCCTTATGTTGATTGGTTTTACGATTATTGTTGTCGCAAGCCGATTGTACCTCAAGTAATTGATGACTATTTTAGGAAATCGATTCCAGATTGTATCTGTGTACCATTCCCATTCCATGTCGATCTGTCGTTTGAGTCTTATTTATAGATAAATAGCAGGGTAAAAATAAACGTTAATGGTAGAATTAATGAGATTTTTCGGTCGTTAGTAAGGTTTTGACTACAAAGTCACTTGCCTTTTTTCGATCGAAATATGTTAATTATGCTTATTGGCTAGTTCGAAGCCACGCTGAAGGCTCATATTTATGAGGCCCGACAATCACCGCGTCATGTATGACACATTGCTGCTTTTGAATATGATCCATATCGTGGCTTGAAACTAGCTCTTATCTCCCCAAAATTTACGAAAGAAAGTCAATAATACAGTAGTTTCCAACAAGTCAAATTCAATATTTTTATCCAAATGTCAAAAACCATACTTTTCTATGAAATTTGTATAAAAAACCACATTTATGACGTCATAATTTACATTTGCTATATAATATCGAACATTTAATGTATCTAAAGATTGATGAAAGTATAATAATTTCATGGTATTGAAACGTAAATTAATTTATTTCTGACATGGGAAACTACCAAATTATAATTAAAAATAAACAAAAGAAAAGCTACATACCTGTAAGAATGTGTAATCCAGTTTGTATAAGGAATCACAGTATATGACTAATAGTTCTGTAGTTTTAATGCCACTGGCTTCGACATCATTTCTTTTGATGACTGAAGCACCATTACTGCTTGTACCATTCATTGTGGGGACATTTCTCTGGGTATTTCTAGAAGCTTCACTGTCGATCCCATTGCTTATATGTACAGTTGTGACGGGGATAGCTCTAGGCTTCTGCTGTTGTAACGTAAAGAGTTTCTGCCGAACTCTTTCTGCGCCCGCGAAGTGTAAGCCTCCCACGGGACGGATCGCGTAATGAGGTGGTAGGACGCCATCCTGTGAAGAATAATAGTTATAGAATCATTGGCATATCAAAATTCTTTTAGCTGAAATATATTATATACGTATTTTTATTTTACTTTATTTTAACACTTTATGTACTTTCTAAATACAAAGGAGGATTTAATGCCCAAACGCCTAAAAAATAGGTCGACACACAAGCAGACGGTTTATTTGATGGTAAGCAATTGCAGCCGCGCCGCTCATGATCACCCGGAATACCTAAGGAGTTACGAGTGCGTTACCGGCTTTTTGGGGATTAGGGTCTTGTATATTTATGAATTGAGGAGGGATGGGGGAGGGGTAGGTTTGGGCCTCATTATCGTAGTATACAGATGGTAACAGTCCTTGGTAATAATATCTACAAAAGCATTACGAACCTTTCACTCAAAAATATTAACACGAAGACTAGCTTCTCCTAATCTGATTACTTGTGATTATTTAAATCTAAAACTTTCAGATACTAATCAGATTTGCTTCATCGAACCTTTGTCAATAATGCTATTTATATCGAATAAATAAAAAAATACTTCCATAAATACTCACTAAAACAATTAAGAACTATTTTAGAATAAAACCCTTAGAATAACTAAATAGACTTTGTAAAAAAGCTATTGAACGACTTAAAAACCAGTCCCCTATTCATAGGAAGGCGAGGGGAAAGTTTCTGTATGCACGCTTGACTCACATTTGATAGAATTTTATTCAAACTTACAGGAAAGTTGCACGTTATACGCAAAAGCCTTTTCACACCGAAACTGACTTGAAACGCTTTAGCTGTTTTATTCAGTGTTAAGTATTTAGTGGCTTAACTTTGTCTCACAACATTTATTCTACATATTCAACTGTTCACATATTATTGACTACTGCCAGTGTTGTAGAATCAAATGTGCGTTCTTTTCGGTTTAATTGTATTAAGTAAATAAGGTTTTTAAGTATGGAAAAGCCATACTTCAGCACGAATGAATCGGCTCAACCGGAGTCCACAGTCTCACAGCGCTGTGTTTCGTCGTGTGAGTGAGGTTACCGGAGACCCAATGCCTCCTCTTCCCCAAGCCCTCCCTAATGCCTAAATTCTACGAACATATCATGTAAAGCTATTTTATCCGAAACCTTTAGTTGTTCCAAAATTATTTCTAATAATAATCTACATATAATAGGTATACCTAAAATAGATATGAAAAGATACACGCTCCAAATACTATGAAGTGACAATCAATTCTACTAAAACTGTACTTAATAAGTTAGGTATGTAAGCGGAGTTATCAAACGACAATCTGTCAGTAGCTGATTTATTGACTGGCCGTTGTGGTGTGCCACAAATCAGGACCATCTCAACACCTCGCAATACGTGATCACTTCACGCTACGCAATTTCCCCTACAAAACTATTATAGTTACGTATAAGTACACATTATTTTATTGTTACACGTGTATATCGAAGGTGTCTAATACGACCTGACTCCTAAATTGAATAAGAAATGTTAATAAATAAATTCTATAGATAAACTTATTACGGACGACTACACTATACACTTTTCAATTGCCTTATTAAAAGTTGTTTTTTTTATAATAATGGTTCTTTACTCATAGATACCGAATCATCGGTATGCAGCAGCCACCAGTAAAAATTAAACAAAATTCCATCGCCTGCTTATAAATCTAAAGCAATATAGTGCTAATATCTTTGCTCGTGTTATAAATTAAGAGATACAAACTTATTACTATCCGTAATTTTTTTTTTGTATTAGGCAAAATAACAATACTTATACGTAAATTACCCAATCCTCAAATCTCTGACACCGAAGACGCTTACAACGCAATTACAACTCTTTTGGTGTTCTGGGTATTCATAAGAGGCGTCCTATTACTTACTATTCAAATCAAATCAAATCAAATTAAAATCATTTATGCCAACTAAACCATAAATAGGTACTTTTGAAACGTCAAGAGGTGGTCGTTAGGTGATGACTCTGCTAATTTTTCGCACTACGAAGAAATACTTACATCAACATATTGAACATCTAAAGGTGGTCGTGAGTGGTAATACAGAAGCAGTAGTGCATCGATGCCCACACCGCAGACGAGTCCAATCTCAACGCCCAAGAATAGACAGCACAGGAACGTACCGAATAGTGGTATGAGATCCAATCCTGGAAAAAGCACATGTATTTAGTAACAAAAATAAACATTTTAATGCGTTTTGAAAAATGGTTCTATGCGATTATCCATTCTCTAATAATTGTATAGCAAGCTGCAGAAATACAAAACACTGACGACTACAAAATCCTTTTCGATTTCTATCCTATTGTCTCGCTACCAGGAGAACATAAATCGCTCTAAGACGTTATAACTCGACCTCGATCAGCTGCAGTCACTAATGAACCGCCATCGCAGCGGCTATAACTGTAATCCTCTTACTTACTGCTAGAAATAATCTACGGCGCGTTGTTGATGTACCAGCTAAACGATGCGGAAGCGGGAAGCTTAACAAAGTCTATCCTATCCCACACAACACAACACAAAGTAATAAATATTATGTAAAAATATCATTAACATCACATAAGCTTATATTCATTTGAGGCCACATTTTAATTAAAACAGCTTTAGCCTTCGTGACAACGAAGCATGCTGCTATATTAAAAATTTTCTTTCAGTTCCGCTGACGGGGCCTTAATGAACTTAATCCAGCCAGTTCCTTAATTTTAAGCAGCTTCCTAGGTTAAATACGTGTTGCGTTTACAAATTTGCGGTTAAGCGTAGGCTTAGTTTAGGCGTAGGTTTACAGACAAAGCCCTAAAAGCTATTAGTTTAAACGAATACTTCTTTGTTCTGAGTAACCATGAAGGAAAATTGAGTTATTTACGAACTCCAAGCCCTGTTTTCGCGGGTAATATAACGTCACAGGCAAATACTGGCTGTAAAAAGTAAGTTATTGAAACCTCTGTGAATTTATATTTTTTAAATTAAAGCTCCTAATTAGTGTCTTATCTAAAATGCCTTCGTATACTCCAACTTCTACACTCCGCCCCTAAGATTACCCAATGCGCATTATTTTCAAAAAAAAAAATTTCCTCACAAGTTGCTATTAAGTAAGTACTACCTATACAAGAAAAAACTTATCGCAGAATTAGTAAACAATATTTATTTTCCTTACAGGGACAAATAGAGGACAATAATCAACAGGAAATCTTTCGACCTTATCTGCACCCATCAACCATGACACTTATGAAAGTTTGCCAACCGCTTTAGTATTTTTCTTACTCTTCCAGAGCCGAGGGTAAAGAGGCACGAAATAACAAGGGCGACAATGAGAGAAACTTGGCAACTCTTGAACTTTCGTCTACCACCAAGTGGAATAACATTATAATCTTTAGTGGGATTACAAAGGGTCTCCCAAGTACCTCGCTGAATGCGAAAATGGAATTTAATGGAATACGATAGTAGGTAAATATTTGATTTTCCTCCCATTCAAATTATTCGAAACATTCTAAAGTGTTGCACGTTGAAAGCCGTTGCTGTAAAATAACAAGTATCTTCTGCCAACCTTAAATCTCATTTTGATGAATGTTTTACGAGATAAGTACCCAAAGACGTTACTTTGCAAATAAAAATGGCTGCCTACGAAAGCTCAAAATATACTGTTGGATATCTTTAACACTTAATAAAAACAATAATTAAGTTAATTAAAAATAAACTGAATTAATTCTAATAAATTGTACTCACGGCTACTTCTCCATAGTTTTTTGATAATTTCATAATTAACCATTTGTAGAACAGCGCAGACGATGACCGAAGAGAGGGCGGCACGGGGAATAAAGTAGAAGTATGGCGTCAGCAAGACCAGCGTCAGTATTACTATTATACCTGTATAAAGGAAAAATATATTAAAAGGATTGATCTTATTTATCAATTTCATGCACAGTCCCGATAAAAACACCTTCAGAATTCTTTAAGTACCTGTGTGAAAACTTGAGATATGCTCTTAAAAGTTCTTTTCTCGTAACTTTAATCGAAGCAATATAAACTTGAACACTTAAGATTTCCTCTCCATCGAAGTATAACTAGAGTATTTGATAGACAGCTCACTTATTACGTAAAGTCGTAACGTTTAAATAAATCCTCTGAAAGCAATGACATATTTCCAGCAGTCTCCGGCGAGCCAAAAAGTCGACGTGAGTTATTACATCTTTTAACCATAAAGATAACTTCTGCGCGAGATATCTCGGAGTAAAAGCACGTGCATTACCTAGAATTTCGTAACATCAAACTTTAATAGAAACTGCATCGAACTAGTCGCCGTCACAGAAATTCAATCTTGTTTAGAGTAAGTTGTATTGAATGACTGATTGCAGCGGTATTCCGCGTAGATACTCATCTGTGTTGTGTACTGCGTATAAACGGTTATTAATTTCGCAGAAAGCATAATACAACTGAAACGTACCCAAGTTGGGTCTTATTAAACAGAACCACAAATGGTTGTAACAATTAATATCAATAATTCATAGTTGCTAATCACAAACGTCCCTATATTTCAACACACCTATATAGCTTGCCCAATTAATTCAGAATCTATCGAGAGATTAACTGGAATGCTAATTGCACTGCTATTATTATGATTACAAGCAAAAGGTGCGACCGTGCGACAGTAGATGAGAAATGTCTCCATTCAATTTCACTTCATGAATTTAACATTATCCCGGAATTAATAATCTTTTTTACGTTAAAAGTATTAGGGTAAAACAAATAAAAACAATTGTTCAAAACAACAATAATCATTACAATAAATTACAGAAATAAATAAAAGTTGTCAATGTTTATTGGAAAAGTTTGTACATAGAAATTATAATTAAGATCAATTTTAGAGTCCTTCTGTGTGTATATGCCAAACACACAGACAAGATAGGTATTTAGACACAAGTCGAAAGTAAAAATCACAGTCAAAGATGGGTATAAATCAACAAAGGTGAGTGCATTCAATACAATGGAGCTACAAATTCACCCGACATACATACATATACGAAGGGAGCTTCCTGATATTTCAGACGTATATTTGAAATTGTAAAACCACGGAAACTTGGCTGTGACAGTAAACTACGATGCAAACTTTTAGATTTATGAAGTAGGTACCCACTACATAACTCCCTCGCGCTGTTGTCGCACATGGTAAAAATGATTTATATGTCTGGATTTACATTTGTCTTACTGCAAACACCCAGTTTCTGTTAAAACTAATCCTAAGATTAAAAGCCGGAGAATTCTCGTACCGTACATTAGAAAAGCCACAAATCACTCTGACGCGTTCTAGATTCGACAAAATCTAGAAGGATTTCTCCTGACTGACTTTAGAACCGTAGTAAACGATAAATTTATCATTTATAGGAATTCATTTGCAATTGTAATCTCAGAGTTATTCAATTGATTAGAGAAACATTTACGTTTGCCAGCCATTACTGTGTTTGCTTTTATTTGTAAATAAGTAAAGCAATGGCGATTCATTGTTGGCTCTATTTTGGGATCTGCAAACGATAACACTTTGTTGAATACATAATCAATTATTGTTTAGACTAAATCAAAGGGCGAAGTGCTTTAGAATAGCTAATTGGAGTATGTCGTGGTGGCCCATAGGTAGCCAACTTCTCTCGCATTGTAGTTGCGGGTTCTAAACCTGGACAAGTACCTACCTACCAATTTCACAATTACCGAGTTACATGTACGTTCTTTATTAAATTAAAATATTATATTTAAAATATTATAATTGACGGACTAAATCATTAATATTAAGTAAATTTTTAATCGCCAATCCGCCGCAAACGATCCGTGTTAGAAAAGGCCTTTGTTCAGCAGCGGACTCTTATATGCCGATTGTGCAAATAAATGAAAATTAACGTTCATTCATGTTTGTCCAACAAACAATAACTAGATACGTGCCAGTTTTATTATAAAAAAAATTGGTAACACAAAACAAGTCCAAACCGAACATAAAATGTTTGTACTCCACAAATCAAGTTAAAGACATCCAAAAATACTTATTTATACGAAAGTTGAGGATTACTTTGATTTCGAAATACTTAATCCAAGCCGCAATGTTAATGTCGGACTAACAAAACTCTATTGAGATTCAATTGGGGCGAGTAAATATTCATTGGGAATACCCTGAATAATGTAAAGTCGAAACAGAGCAAGTTTGCAGGTTGACATAATGCGACACACGATCTTTGACCTCCGGGAGGCGGGGGGAAGACGGCCCAACACTGGATTTATGTATTGCACTTATCTTAATAAAAATAAAAGACAGTCAATAACAAAACTGTCTATCTTTACATAATTTAGTCCAAAACGAGAAAGTTCTACCATATTTCAGTTTATTTTAATTTACATATCTAGTGTGGCCCGAAAACATAATTCAGTTTGTAAGGTTAACAATGCAAATGAAACCATATCAGTAACAGTTAAGTTAAAGAGTTGGCAAACGCTGTAAATTGTGGCAAATTATTTAAAAAATAAATTGATAAGCGAATTTAACATATATTTCAATCAATCTAACGAATGTGTTTCTTTAAGTATTTTGACATTCTTATTTGTCTATGTACCTAGTAAATTACTCATCACTCTGTGATATCCTTTAAATTCTGTAAAAATGTTAGGAGTAGCTCCTTACCACATATTCATCAGAATAAACTGTAATATTTTCCCAAATCGTCGTAAAAGTAAATAGAAAATTCAAAAACTAATACTGACACAAACATTAAAATACAGATACAATACAAAACATAACCCGTATAAATAAGACATCGTCTACTATAAACTAGAACACAACGAAACAAAAGCAAAACCTTTGAAAAGTATTCGTGAAGAAAAATAGAGAATGATATAAAATGGTAACGATAAAGCAAGTGTTATCTCAGTTCTAAAGCTAAGACGACGGGAGCGTCAAAGAACTGAAAATTGACTCTAAAACCATCACAACTTTATATCTTTTAGTCAAAAGATTAAGTATTATTATTAGTTCATTTTCACTTTTTATATATAAAGTGAAAACTTTCAGATGAAGTTAGTAACCCGAGTACAAAGAATCCACTTTCAAGATTACGTTGAAAATATTTTTAATGAACTTTTCAAAGCGCTTCATTGATCTAGAGTAAACTACTTTCGTAACCCAATTCCTGCGGTCCCGGTTACGTTAGTTAGGTTGAACAAGGCAATTAAGATTTTCTGATAGAAAATGTTCAATTATAACTCGATAGAACGCTCACGATAGCACGAGACTCCCTCTATCATATCGCAGGAGCTAATGCAATCACTGACAAACGCGGACGTTCGGGTGCACGATGCATGAAATTACAATTCTACGTAGAGCATTACGACTGAAGTTTGTTTCCCAGCCCAACTTGATTGTAGAGCCAGAGGGAAATGGACTACGTACAATTTATACGGTGTTTTCAGCAAATCAAAATTGACTATTCCACTTAGAAGCATTCCAAATAGTCAAGGAATCAGTAAACACGGAAACGTTACGATGACAAGCGCCCGAAGTCGTCGTCAAAACATAACAAAGTTAACAGCTAACGAATTCCCATTAAATAAATTGAAACAATGAACATCGTAAATAGCCAAAGTTCGAGGTTGTAAAAGTGGATGACAGACATGTCCTGAATTTATTTCTTATTTAAATACATTATTATGTTATCGTAAGGCTTTTCATAATTTTTCACAGCTACTTATTTTAAGCCTAATTTTACTCCTAATACTATGATCCGTCCACTTAATTTGTCAAATGATATAGTAATTAAACTCTCACGGGGCATTGACGATAATTCGTCAAGTAGTCTCTCTTTTAATAGTAACTATTAATCAAAGCAAGTATATACTAATCTCCAATAAATCAACCGTAGAAACCAGCTTAATTATTACACGAATCCCCAATAATCTTAACAGAATCCACGTAATAAATGTACTCACACACGTTGAACACGTTTATCCTTTTACACGAGCCAGTTGCTCGCCGTATTTCTTCCAAAATTATGTTTGAGTAATGTGCTAGTCTAACGAATAGCACATTTAACCAATATCTACGTTCTAAGTACTTACCCGTGTATATCCCTGAGCCAGGTGTCTTGACTCCGGAGGCGTCGCTTACAGCGCTTCGGGAAAAGGAGCCGTTCACAGGTATGGATTGGAAGAAAGCGCTCACGATGTTGCAAACGCCCAAAGCCACAATTTCTTGTGTCGCATCCACAGTCTTCCCCTTTGCTGAAATATTATCGAGTTATCAACTTTGTTAAACCATTAAGACTTGTTTTTTGGGGAGAACATTGTATCAGCTCAGTTTTTATTATTAAGATTTATAGAGATCGACACACCGTTATAAAGGATATAAAATCTTCTTTACATAGGTAGTGTATGTATACATTAACGTAGCGATGCGAACATTTTTAACAAGCTCACAAAGTTCTTTCATGATACTAACTAAAGAGACATAAACATTAAACATTTTGTTGTACTATAGTGCATTTTCTATGCTTATGAGATAAAATATTATAGTTTGCTAGTTAACCAAAAACGAGCTAAAATCAAAAGATAAGATCGATTTTCAGTTAGATGAATCCAGAAGAAATTTTACATATAAGACATATAACGTGACTTTAAAAGTACAAACAGCTAGACAAAGTCTAAGTAAACAATCGTAGTTACATACCTATACTGTAAGACTACAGATATGTTATCATCAGCTCCTATAGAGTAATGTTTATAAGCCGATATTTCTAATCCAATAACACCTCGCTACATACTCGTATAAACATAAATTTAGTTATTATTATAATGAACAAGCCAAGTATCAAATTTAAGATGGCAATTTGTTTACAAACTCAATTAACTCATCCAATTATGAGCAATAGTTCTAAAAGTACTTTGCCAAAGTTGATTTACTTGTTTCAATGCTTTCTATCGACCTAACGTGGCCAATCAGATACCATCTTACAACTAATTTAAACAGAGTAATAAAACTATCAAAAGTTATCAAACTCATATTTAATTGATGTCGATAGTACTCTAACTTTAAAACACTTTATTGAAATCTGTTTTTACTTTGATAGATAGCAAGTTTCATTGGTCTAGTCAATTTAATCGAAATAATTGCTGATTAAAATCAAGATTTAGGTTATGGTACTAAGGCTTTTTTTTTGTCAGGGGAAAATCGTCGAATGGTTTCTCCCGCCCAGGGTTCGGCGAGAGAGAATTTCGGACTCTTACTGACTAAAAACCCCCGTTCCTTTTCCTGCTCTGGACCGATGCCGCGGTCACTCATTGCGCTTAACCCGCAACCCCAGCTGAACATCAGCCCTATAGGGCCCCGTCTGTGGTGATCTATTTGCTCTTTGAGGAGCGCGCGGAACGCTACGCACCGTACGCTCGGGTCTGGTTCTGGTCTAGCGGCGAGCTGCCCTTATTCGCCGTCCGCGCTTACGGTGGCCGGAGATCATATCTCGTTGGTACCAAGGCTAGACATCCAAGCCTAGACAATGAACGCATTTAGTACTAGCAGCAAGGTTAAGTTAAGAACCCAATTTTCTATTATATATTTTTTCTATTTTCTATAATTTCTAGCTATAAATATAGCCGTATTACGTAAAGCGTATAGAAATTCTCAATGGTGAAAGATTTTTTCAAATTATAGCACTATATTTTTTTTTGTTATATTCATTACAAACTTACAAACAAAAAAAATAAAAAGTTTTGTCTTTTACATTATTGGTGCACATTAATTCTTCGAATTCGATTCATTTGGAGAAGTAAAACACAACATAAATACTATGAAAATTAAAATCTGCAAATATTTACTTCAAATCATATTGAACCGTGGATAAATCTATCAGCTCGGGCACGTGGCCCGAGCTGATAGATTTATCCACATCCAGTAAAAACGAAACGTCACTGGATAAACAAACCCGCGTACATTTTAACTTGGCAGTTGAAATTGCATGGATTTTTGAATAAATTTCACATTGGCTTAACTGACGTGAATCGACAGACATCTCTTTTGTAAAATCGTACCGGCAAACATATGCACCGTGTTTAATGTAAACATTTTTACGCTTCATCACTGGTATATTGTCAAATTATTTAAAAGCATTCACCTAGGATAAATGTTGAATTTTTCAAGGTGTTCATTCAATTATGTATGCAGTTACTACATTTCAATGCTTAACAAAATTAGCCGTAAGTAATTGTACTTGCAACCGAGTTTGCAATAATATCAGAGTTCTTTAGCATATTCCATGAAGATTTGACTGAACTTCCAAAATAACATTTTACTTGGACCTCGCATTAAACAGCGCGATATCTGCGCAGTCGTGCTCTTCAAGAAACAAAACCTGTCATATCATATCGGTAATATCAAATTTTTCCGAAACTTTTCAAAAAAATCCGAATGTAAATAATATTTTAAAGTCATACCCAATATCAATCTAATGAAGTTTGCAAGTTGAATGTGCTGTTTAAATTATTATCGAATATAGCACATTGTTTTGTAAATAAAAATAGATCGTCTGGAGATTAGAATAGGTTTTATAAGTACATTTCACTTTTACGCGAAGGTAACTTTTTTACAGTAACTTTTTTCAAGCATAATTAAGATATTGAGGTAGTCGTGTGTTCTTGTACCAACTACGAGTAATATAATTAAAGTTCGAACACGACTTACTTATAAATGTCCTTAATATAATATAGAAAAAAAATCGTCTTCGTACCATAAATAAGTATTCAGTCAGTATTGTTTCAGCTCGTTTCGTAAAAGGAATTTAATCAAGTTAGTCAAACATTTTTAACTTCATAAATCTATAACAACCAAAGAATGATAACAAATATAGCGTCAACAAAAATATTATTTCGAAGTTCATTGATGTGGGAATTGGAATGTCCAAGTGACAATGAAAACGCAACGAAGCGAATAAACGTACTCGTAGAACACAAATAACGGAGGAACGTCACAAAACGAGAACATCGCTATTTAATTATCACCTTAGAGAAACGACGGGCAACGAAAATTCATTATTGCTTTCGCCGTGGCATGTTTGCTGTTATTGTACTTATTATCACGACTTGCTCCAACTCGGTAACGTAGCTACATATAGCTCAGTTTTTATCTGCTGGCGTTATTGTTCTTTGATTAAACGTTATAAAACATGTTTTAAGCAACATGAAACATATATATCCGGAGCTGAATTCCCCTAAAAGTAAAAGAAATTGGGAATGGAATGTGAGAGGGGGCGCATATTCACAATTTCTCTAATACTCAAATCCATAAAAGGCCGGTGACACTCTAGAAACTTCTCTGGTGTTCGTAGTTAGCTTCGATTGCTTAACATCAGGTAAATCGTTGGCTCATTTGCTGCTCTATCTTACTTCTTATCTATACTAATATTATAAATGCAAACGTTAAAATGTTTGGATGTTTGTCACTCAACCACGCCAAAACAGCTGGACGGATCTGGATGATATTTGGCACAGGCATAGGATACACTCCAGAACATGCCATAGGCTACTTTTTATCAACATACCATGTGGGCGAAGCCGAGGGCGGAAGCTAGTACCTACTATAAAACAATCTATAAAATATACTTACCAAATGCTTTAGCAATAGCAACGTTAGACAGTATGGCCACTATGGGTACAACAGCCAGTCCAGAACCAAGGTGTGACAACATGTCCCCAGCAGTGTATGTAGCGTTGCCAACTGTCGTCTCGAACGCTGGCGGACGAACGTGGGGCAGTCCTGGTGTTATGGAGCCTGAAAAAGAAAAATATATTTCTATATTTGGTGTACCAAATATTCATTCCTCTGTCCAAAATTCATTTCGTGAAATCATACCTCTAAAGAAAAGTAATAAACAGTTTATAGATTTTTCAGTTATTCTAACATTGACAGGGGATCTAGATGTAGTTCATCAACATCATCATAATCATCAGCTTACGCTGAGCAAAAGCCTCTTCTCGCTAGATGATTTGATGATTATTCAACACAGTTGCTAAAGGGGTACTGCAGCTTTTTTTCACGATGTCCTTCACCGGTTGTCAGTAAAGGGTAAATAAACTTAAAAGTATTCTATAACATAAGTTTCATTCAGATTATAATTAATTTAAAGCACCTCGAACACGTCATAGGTAAATAAATACTTTACAGCTCTTTGGGGAAATCCAATTGCCGGCAAATAAACGGCTACAATGATTTCCTTATAGTCTACCAGCCGACGATTAATTAGCAAAAAATGCATAAGAACTTAAGAAACATAAATTATTATAAAACGCACATAAAATACGATTTAATCATTGGCTACATTACATGCAATGGCACAAGAAATACTGAAAAAATCAATATAACAATACTGTTAGTTCTATAAGTCAACACCTAACTTTTACTATAAGTTTAGTACCTTTACTTTTCATACTTTTGTTACGATTTTAGACTTTCAAACAAGACAATCTTAATGTAGAACAAAGTGCAAGCTAACTTTTGGTCTTGGAAATCGATGCCTACAAACGAAATTATAAATAAGTTCCTAACGCGACAAAGGGTTACAAGCCTTATTTACAAAATGCATTATCAACTTGAAACATCGTTTACTAGTTAACACTACTATAAATAAACAAAACAAACCTAAACCATTCTTATAATCTGCGGTACAAGGCCAGCTGGTGTCTTAAGTACTAAAATAAAACGTTAGTATAAAATTATTCTGTGTGTCTGGATATCAATTAATTGTGTAAAACTAGGCCTGACGACGACAATCGCTACATTTATTATTCTTTTGAAAGGACAAGGCCAGGAAGGCAGTGGCCGGACACGACCACTTTAGCCCGAGAAGACGAAAAGAAAAAATACACAAAGTGCTTAATTTTATAAGACTTGTTTCTTAAAGCGTATTCGATATTCTATTTTTTACAAGCTAAATAATAAAATACTTGATATCATCTATATCACACACTAAAATATGGAACGGTGTTAACTACGACCTCTCTATCTCGTCGGATTACAATCCCATTTCCACCAAACTATAAATCTCACAGCAGCGTGTATTTGCACTGGCTGCACATGTTTATGGGAGTTAAGGATGGTCACATATATTATCCAAACATTTGAAGTCACGCTCCATTAAAAGTGGTTAGTCATGATTCTATAGCCACATACTAACCTGTAAGAAGGAAGGGATTATATTTATCTTCATACACGAAGTAAGCTATCAGTGACGCCAGACACACGACCACAGCATTCCTTGACACTCCTCCAACCCACAAAACCTTTTTTAGTATTTTCGCCTTGCGGCAACCCTTTTCGTCCGCAGCCTTGTCCTTTATTTTGATGTCTTTCATGGCCTGAAATTGAATATAAATGCGATTAAGTCCTAGTCCTAAAGCACCTTTAGACCATCTTCGTTTTTCTTAGCTTTAGTAAAACTTTGGAAAATGAAGATTTTAATAAAAATGTTACTCAAAGACTTTTGTGATCCAAATTCCTACGACATTTTCTATTTAGTTCTCTGTCGCGAAATTTTAACAACATGAGCATCTTGACAGTTTTTTTTTGGGTTTCGTAAAATTGTTTCAAGATCAATCAGATCGCGTGCTGTAGACATATAACATGAGCAAAATATCGATTACATTAAGAATAAGCGTGTTGAAGCTCCATTTTATATCTCAAACTGTGTTACAAGATTACTAAGGGGTAATCCCTAGCAGCTGTGAAAATTAGTTTCAAAGTAAACTTGAGGTACATCGGTCGGAGTATGCCTAAAGTAAATTATGTATTAATCTCAGCCGATAGAAGATTTCGGTCGTGTACATAACTTACAACCGAAGCCTGAATAAATCATGTTTGCATTTGATTTTGATTAAATTTGATTCGAACAGCTCCGAATAATTGATTTATTTATGAACTCCTTCAAATATACAACACTGAATTATGAGCCAACTTGTGTAGTCGTATCATGGATTTAATAGTTCCCCCGTTGTTAATAGCTCGACTTAGGTGAGTTAGTTCAAAGTTAGAAGGGATTTAATCAGACGTCGGTCTGTATTCCGGGAAACTTTCTCATTCGTCCAAAATAATAAAATAAAAGTCGGTAGTCTCCCGTCGTTATTAACAATGATGAAAGTTTATCGGTTATATTGGCACGAATGGGTGCTGTGTCGACTGTCTAACGAACCTTACTTATAGTGGCACAAAAATAGAATTTCTATACTGTAACCGAAGATAAAAATCATAATATCGAGAAGAGGTATAAAAATCCTTTTTATACATTTTAAAGTAAATTCTAAAATACTTCAAGCACAGATACGTCCTGGTTAAAAATTGCAAGATACTTTGCCAGCGGTGACGTGACCCGTCAAACCGAAATGACTTCAAGGAGTAAGTTGTTCGAGACGTGAAATGTACTTCTTTAAATACTCTTATTTTATAAAATTCTTCTGTTATTTTTACAAAATTATGTTTTATCCTGTTTTTTGTAGAATAACGCTTGGGTTATGTTTCGGTGTTTGAATGAGGTTACTGGAGACCCAATTCTTCCCCTTTTCCCTAATCCATGAATCCCCCAATATCATCAAACCAAATGGTCCGGCAACTTTTTTAGCTCCCAGATGTTGTGATTTAAAACTTGAAGTTACTTACCGTCAGGTAATCGATGCCATAAAAAGGTCAGACTAAAATAAACAACTTGTGACCAATTGATATTTACACAGTCCTCACGATCATTAAGATTAACTTACAGTTGTCAGTTAAAATCGTAATCTGACCTTGAGAAGTTATAGGAAAAGCGAACTAAATAGGTGTCTAGCATCTACTCTAGCTTGTTATAAGCTAGATATATAAATTGTAATGTTATTTTAATAACGTAATGTAATACCCGAACTAAAACCGATTTATTAATGGATTACAAATTATTTTAAACCTAGTAATAAAACTTATATTATAAGAATAGTTAAATGTCTTTAAAAAATCAAAAAAAAAAATCTTCAAGGAATAGATAATATTATACCAGGAATAGCTTAGGTAGCTAGGTATGTATATGCAACATGTTTAGCATCAAGTATACGCTTAACAAATAGTATGCAAATCTTACAATTTCTTTGTTACATTGTCCATCAGTTACATTATTTGAATATTACAATATTAGAAACCTTCGATATTCATAGGTTACTTCTATTTAATTCGAAAATTTTGCAAACGAGATAAATGTGGACCTGGAGGCAAATATTTTGAGCTCCGTTAAACAGCTTAAAGCGTAAAATTGTCATAAGTTTTAAAAGTTAGCAAATGAAGGTGCTAGGCAATAATATAATACCAAAATTCTTTGAGCTGTTTGTAAAGTATCAAGCTTTCTAGATTTACAACATAATAATTCACACTCAGCATTGTAACGTTCGTTAAAGATAAAACTTATTCAGTAGCAATATCCGACAATACAAATAGTCAATTACAAGGGATGCTGCCCCAATTCTGTGTCTACTATCTAGTAAACCGTACATGTGCCGGGACGACAATCAGACTTAGTATTTACTTTGTAACGGAGTTTGCCAAGTTGCGGTCCCGACGACGGCGACGGACGCTCACCGCTACCGAACGTGTCGTATTGAATTATCGACGAAATTAACAAATAAACAGAGCAACTTGCTCCTAAGTGAGTGTGCTCACGTAATGTCCCATAATACATGTTTCAAACTATCACCAACGATAATAGGTAGGCATTTCAGGGTACACTTCTAAATTTACGATGCTTTGTAACCTTTATCAGTTTCAAAGAGAATTGGACCTTAAATGATTGCCTTAAGAATGTTTCCATAAAATCTTACCTTCATTACTGTGAGCACGATAATACATCCCAGGCTAAGCATGCTGTCAGATAATCTCGCTTCGCCGACGTGCTTGAAAAAGTTCTTCCACGTGGAAACGAAAGTGTCAGCATTGTACCGAAGACCTAGTAGTCCCTTGACTTGCGATGATGCGATTGTCAATGCAGCGGCTGACGTAAACCCTGATACCACTGGCACAGATATAAACTCCACCAGAAAACCTAAAACAATGGGCAATGTTATGTTAACAACTTAAATAGTTACTCAAAACCGTGAAGATATTATTTGTACTAAACACATTGTCGTAATATTACTTTGAACAATTATCATCACCCTTTTAAATGTAAACAAAAAATCGTTTTTGTACTTAAAGTCTTTTATTTTTACATTAAAACATATTTGAGCACTGTATCGAATTTATGTCACCATTGAAGATATTCATTCTAGATTTAAAATGGTTCCACATTAAACGTTAAGTGATTGGGCATTAAAGCGATACAGATAAGTAATTTCTTAAAAACAAACGACCTTATTACAAAACGAGGATTTTCTTTAGCCTGGGTTTAAACCATTGAGTCAGATTTTTGTATTTCGAATTGAAGATAGGTGAGAATAAGATTCAAAATTCAAAACCTGGCTTTTAAGCATAGACTAAAGATAAATCTTGGGTTATAATAAGGGGGAAAGAGTACAAAAGTCCTTACCAAGTTGCGCTATTCCTGCAATAAGCTGCACAATTCCAGCCATGAAACACAGAAGTATGGCGAAGTCCGGGTTTGTGCCGTTCGTGTACGTAAATGTAAGAAGCGATAATAATGCTGAAGGCCCCAGGTTCACCTGAGGACTCGTACCCATAATAGCGTACACGAACGGCCCCATAAACGATGAGTAAAGACCATACTGAAAAAGGACAATAACAAAACATTATTAATTTTCTTCGGAAATATACATATTTAAAAACTGGAATCACAAGAATGATATGATATACGATATTTTAAGTGTAGGACAACCATGACTTTGCTTTGCTTCTCGACCGGATCCATAAGATGAGATCCACGGTTAAGGAAAGCAACGCTTGTGTATAGTTTTATCGCGTGGCTGAAGTTAGCGAAAATCCAGTCCTACGCGTGTGGAACATTTAAGTGTGGGAGAGCCATGCATCGGCACAAATGGGTCGGCTCGACCGAAGTGATACCACGGCCTCATAGAAAACCGGCGTGAAACAACCCACACGTTGTGTTTCGCAGTGTGAGTGAAGTTACCGGAGGCCCAATCCTTTCCCTCCCCCAACCCCTCCTCAATCCCTAAATCTCCAAATCCCTAATCCCTACAATGTCGGCAACACACTCGTGGCTCCTCCGTTGCGCGTGTTCATGGGCGGCGCTGATTGCTTACTATCATGTAATCCGTCTGCTCGTTTGCAGACCTATTAAAAAAAAAGAGAAAGTCATTTTTCATGAAAAAAGGAGAAGTTTAAAAGGAGCACAATGGTAATATAACATTCAATCTAATCTTCAATCAGAAGACATGGAAATTAATATTTCACATACTTATTAATCAGAGCCCCTTGATTTTTTAACATTAAATATAATAACGCCGACAGAATAGATAAGATTATTTTTATTGTGAATTGCATCAATCGTTGCTACGTACGACCATTTATTTAGGTACCTATGTATGTATATGTGTAATTAACATCACTGACCGTTATAACTATAAACTAATGTATATTCAGATGTCATTGTTTCGTCAATTATTGTTTACAATATGTAGTATATTATCTAAACATATTTATTTACAAAACACGAATTATGACATAATAATTAAGTAAATTACAAAAAGATCCACGCTTCAACTAGTTACAAACGAACTCGTCCTGAATTGTTCTTTAATAAAATATAACTTTTATTTTTAATTTTTTAACTGAAATAATGCGATAATTATTGAGGTTAAGTACTGCGATAGGGTTAATTCAAATGAATATAGTTTTTTTTTTATTTTCAATGCCCTAAATACAAATAATAATTCTTTCTAACGCTACAAGTTAGCGACAATACATAACATGAAGAGACAGTTTTATCTATTTATAATTCAATATGACGCATTACTATACGTTTCCACTACGTCGAGTGACAATATCTATCTTTGGCAGATTCAAATTTCCGGATAAAATTCTAACCTTGTATTAGACACAATACATTGAATACAGCCTTGAATTAAACAGAATTCAGCGTGAAAAAAAAACACGTTGATAAACATAAAAAACGAAATTATGATGCTTTACTTCAAATGCTACGTAAGTATTCTTGCCAATAATCTTTATTATTTAATTGTAAGACAACTACTGTCCCTACACAATGTAATTTATTACAGCGACGTTTTTATGTATCATAAATTACAAGATACTTATTTCGCGTCGAGTGGTAATTAATCTCGGAAACATATAGAGGATTACTTCAGGGAATTGAGAAGGTGGGCCAAAGTATCTGTTGCCTACAAGTGTAATAACGAAACTTTTACATTAGTTGCGATTACAAACACTTAGATACATACGTGTTTCTACATAGCAGGTACTTATGGTAAGTACTATTGATAAGAATATCTTTTACATAGAAAAATAATTATTTTTTAACCGTATAAGTATTATCTACATTACAAAGTATTAGATAAACTTTGCTGTACATTTTGCAATAACAACTCGATCCATTGAGAATTTAAATTCGAAAATAAAAGTAGATATAAAAGAAACTAGAAATTAAACTAGCTCACTATGAAACCACACAGCTTGGAATTTAAATATTAATATCCACTAGGTGCTCGGCTCCGCATGTATAATTCCAAGATTAAGATGCACGTAGACGCCACCTGCATAGCAAATTCTAACTAAAATATCTTTAAGTTCAACATATTTTTTCTTTTATTTTAAATTGGAAACCTAGACTACTAAATTACCTTCAGTCGACAAAACAGTTGAGCCATTAAACTAATCGCATTTTTATAAGAGTTTTTATATGAAAACTAACACGATTTATTCACAAAGCTCCAATAAAAATACATAAAGGGAAAAAACGTGAACAAAACATTATGAAATGCTAGCTTCCACCAGCGGTTTCGCTCACAGCACAGACCATAATCTATCTCTATGTCAAATTTCATTTAGATCTGTTCAGTGGTTTTTACATAAAATCAACAACATCCAAATAAACAAACTACTTCAAACTTTTGCGTTTATACCTAAAATTAGTAGGAGTAGGACACAGTGGATTCTTTCTTTTTTCTATTTTATTCTTAAAAGTCTTTTTCTTTTTAATTACGAACATATCAAGATATAGTAATATTAAGCAAAGCTACAAATCTATTCTAGAATTGTCACACACAAATATAATGTACATTTATTGCTAGTGAATCGCATACGTGGTGACTAAAGCCAGGCAACCGTAAGTACTTGGTCCCTGAGAGAGAGCTACGAGGCCGGAGATGTCCGCAAATACGTATTAGAAATGTAGGTACTCGCTAGAGTTGAAAGTCAAGATAATTTATTGCTTGGGTACTGAAAATCACACATCGATTCCAATCACTAGCTACATAGTATAAAACAAAGTCAATTTTTATGTCCATTTATCACTATTTAAATACGCTTAGATTTTTAAAACTACGGAACGGATATTGAATCGTTTTTAAAATGGACATAGTGATTCAAGACGAAGGTCTACTTATATGCTAGCATCCATTAAATAGTTGAGTTTAGTATCTAGTCACTAGTAAAATATCAATTTTAAAAATTGCCTAATTATTTTGACAGTCTCAAAATCGTTTAATGCAAACATAGTTTCGAGAATGATGTCCAATCGAGTCGTGAATTGTTCAGGAGTTCTCTATCCGTAGATCGAGTTTCCAATTGAAGTTTGTAATCAATAGTATTCTCACACACAAAGTCAGTCACACATAAGTCATAACTAACGGGGAAAATAACAGGCATGAGATACATCATTTTCACAAAAGAAAATTAGTTACAATAAATATCTAAAGAAACTGTAACCTTATTTAGATAAACATTTGCGACGTACACATGTGTAATAGAACTAAAGTGGCATCTTTTGTACCAAACCCTTTAAAGAGGTTAATCAACAACATAATTTATCCGCCAGCAGTATTGTATAGAAACGGATGCTATCAATGAACGACAATCCGCTAAGTACGTTCAATGATTTTATCTTTTCTCTTCTTGTGTGTTGTTGTTTAGAAACTTTTTTAAACAAACCTATAAATGAAAAAGGATCAAGCTTTTAGGGTCATGAGGTTGGATACATCCACCAGTGCCACCAATTACGTTATCACGTACTTCTCTAGCTTTCAATATTCATGTAATCTTTTTAGTATATCTACATTTTCCCGCGACTAATCAACTTTTTTCTTTAGAAACTAACCGATATTGAGTGAGTGGTATATGATTTACAATCATATAAAATTTATTTACTTCTGGTATGCCAGAATGTAGATGGAAGTATGTCCCACTTCTCTTTTTTTTTCTTTTTACACTGTATTATAACTTCTTCTTCTTCTGTTTTCATTAACAAAAACGTTTGGATTTTCTCCTATATCGTGGGTCCATTTACAAACATACAATTTCACATACACATTACACCCAGACCCGGAACAATACTTTGTGAATCACTCAAAGAATAGTTCCGTGCGGGAACCAGCGACACGTTAGGCGGCAGTCAGTTGGACAAGCCACCGCACCAACCGTGCTGTCTATGCGACGTCAAATACGAAGGAAGTCATGAGCAAATCTATTGCTTACTAAATATCATAACAATTATTGCCAGTAGTTACTTCACATAATTCCAATGTGTCAACAGACAAAAGACAGACTGATTTATTACCAAAACGGTCAACAAACAATTTAAGGTCACAGGAAATAACACAGAACATTTTTTCCACTTCTTTTTCCCCGAGATAATTTATACTCAAGTTGTAATCACTTACCTATATTTACCTAATTAATGACTGACTGTTTGGTTGTTTATTTATCAATACGACGATGTCGGCCCGAATAATTTAGAAAATACAAAGTTTGAACCTTACTTTAGCAATGTATCCTTACTATAACATTTATTTTATTTATATAAATCATCTATGTATACATAGTCTCCACAATAAATCCCACTGTCACCTTGGCCAAGGCCTTTGACGTAGTAAGTGTTCATCCGAGTAGAACGATGGATGCCACTAGTAATCGAGCGTAAATTTTGTCAAGTGAACAAGCTTGATACAGTACCTGAGGTTCAAATCCGGCAAGCGATGCGTACGCAATCGACTGCGGTACCAATGTCAGGGCGATCGTGATACCGGCTATTAAATCTCCTACCGCTGAACTTGCGTCGTAAGTCCTTGACCACTGCAGTATAGGAAACACGCCGCAAACCAATCTCTTTGGACTCGGTATCTTCAACTTCATTCTCGAACTGCAACGTTAAACCAGCTTGTTACCACTTATTCTAGTATATTCGAACAATATGTTAATAGTTACAATTATTATACTTAGTTTTTCGTAATAAGCATAAATTGTATAACCTAAAATAAAATATTTTTCGCATACTGCTTGGCATCTTGTCAAGAAAGAATCAAAAGTAACAATTCTATATATTCTACAAAGTTATTAACAAAGAGTTACACGTGATTATTTATGGAATGAATAGTATTTTAAAGGTGGTATTTATCAATATACTACATACACATTACAATATACTACATTACATATTAAATGAATCGCTAAATGTGTAAGCACATAACTCAACAACACCTGAACTTATTCAGGCAACTTTTTGTTATTGTTAAAAGAAAGAAAATTTTTAAAATAAAAATAAAAAATGAAATAAAAAAAAAGTAGACGATAAAATCGGGATATATACACCGGGAAAGTATTTGGACTACCGTTTGACGCGGTAGTGAGCCGCTAGTTATACTTATAAATAAATAAAAAACATACTTATTGCTTAGGTACATATGTAACGCAATTGTAAGCTAATTAGGTATCTAGATTGCATATACCTATATACTTTTAATCTTGATTATATTTTAGATGAACAATAAAATTGATTACATTAATACATATTGCCAAACTTACAAATAGCTTCTAGGTCCTAAAATTCGTCTCATTTTCACAAATTAACTAAAAAAAATCACTTGATTCAAATTATTGAACTACATGTGTAAGTGCGACTAGCCGTAAGGGTTTAGTTTCATCTACTGAGATAGCCTGGAAAAAACACTAAATAATCGTAATCGGATCTGATCTGATCTTAATCTGATGTCCCGATACTATTTCCATAATGGACTACTTGAGCAATCAATCTCCGTTATCATAATTTCGCATATTTTTATCATTAAATTGTTGTTTCAATGTTAAAAGTCTCATTCACACTAGGGAGTGTTGTCATTGTAAATTATCTTCAGACAATTTTATCGAGTTTTTTCTGTTACAAAATCACGGAGCGCTGTATCTTATGCATCTATCTATAAATAAATAAATATATATTATTAAGTCAAAATAATTATAGGGAAATTATTTACTTAATATAGATATCAAATCTAGATAGAAATCAAAAGAAGTATTGATTAATTTTGTTGGGAAATGATTGATAAATGCTATTGCTTAAGAATTTGAATTTTAGATGTTCCCAACATTGGCTTTTGAGTGAAAATTTACTAGATGTCGGAATAAAATTATGAATAAATAATGGTAATATTTATATTGGTAATAGTGTTATGTATGTAAGAGTTCACCTAATCGAAACATATTTAAGTACGTTTAAACATTCCTAAATGAAAATAAAAATAAGATAAGTATAAATTAACTACAATATAAGATGCACTTAATTAACTACAGCACACACAGGTCCCATGGTCAATTTCCAGGTAGGGTCAATTGTTAGATACAGATTAGGCAGAAAAGACCGACAGACTGACAGATCTTTCGCATTTATAATATTAGTAGCGATTACTAATTTGAAATAAAATAAAATACTTAAAACATTTGATTTTATATTTAAGTTTTGTTCCTTAAAGTAATACACACTGAGTTAATCGCGTTGTTCTACAATTAAAATAGATGCTGAATAATTGAATAATTTTTGAATAATTTTGTAGCTAACCCGACCCGACAAAAAATAATTAGTACTTTTGATATTATATACCCATATTCCAAAACGTTTACCTAATTTAGGTAAGTATATTTGAATAATAATAGTAATATACTGCAACCGGGAAAAATGCTCTGATTTAATTTAAAATCACACTTAAAAAATCAAATAATTTATTATGTTTAATGCACCATCTTACAGCCCTAGCTACTAATTAACGCCTCATTTTAAGGAACTTAATTTAAATACAATGTCCACTCAGTGCGCTCAGAGCGACCTTTGACTCTAAACAACCAATTACTATTGGTACTTCCGCAAATTATCCTATTTATCTACCTACAATCGAAACGGAATAATCATCTAACTCAAAAGTGAACTACATAATCGTGTAATAATCAACTCACCTTCGAATATTTTATTTTAACCAAAAAAACACCAGTGTTTTCAAATAATAATTAAATAAAATTTCACTAAACTTCACTAAAAGGTGTATTTCATCATAAAAAATATTCCATAGAATAGTATTCCTGATTTAAAAATTCACAATACAGATTAAAATAATGATGAAGTTCGACAAAAATTCCCGCCTTTTTCCCGGCTACCGCGCCTGCGTCGCGAACTTTTTAACCGGCTAACCAGCGCATTCGACAACGACGTTATACAAACTGCCTCATGGCAGACTGACAACAATCTCGCAATCATTTAATTTCCCTGTTACGGTTTGTGATTCTACTTAACGTAGTGACAATTATTATTAAGGTGTCATAAAGAGATTGATCACCATTGATGCGCTGAAATAACGTGTTAATTATAATCAACTTCTGTATAATAATAGGCACGTGCGATCTTTTTCATTCATTGTTGCAAACAATAAGTCGGTAAATCACTATATTTAGCAATATGTTTGACATTTTTTGTGGTGGGAATCCCTTGCACTTATAACACGTACTTTGTTATAAATTAATAAGATAGATGTCATTATAATATATAATGTGATGTCACTGCATGCGACATTAAAATGGAATTGACAAGTTCTGTTAACAATAGCAAAATAAAAAAAAATATACAAATTAAATACATAATTCTGAAATGTGCTGGACTTGCTTCTATCTTATGAAAATCTCGATGATTACCACTAGAACAATGACAAGGAATGAAATCCTCTTAGTTTCACTTCAAACCAGGAAATAGGTTGGCGCCGGTAAGATTCTATGTTTTGTTAATTTTAAGGTCTTACTGGACCTAATTGTAGGCTTTTGAAGCCTTTGCTCGCTGTTCTACGAATTTTCTTTAGGAATGCAAAATTAACGGGACTGAAGACAAGGTTCTGAAAAAAATTCATTAATATGTTGTTTTTGTTGATATAGCTTGCACTTAGAAATGTTTCTTTATTTCAGATTTTGAAAGGAACTACCAAATTTTAATATCATGATTTTCTGGATAGACTATTCCAGAAAATCTTTATATTATGCATAACACAATTTAGAACTTAGATTAAAATAATAAATGATCTTTGTTGTGAATACAGTGAATTTTTAAAATATTATCATACTTTTATTCGTTGTTTTATCGATACACTTAATTTTAGATTTCTTCTAGCAAATTCATTACGTCGTGATATGTTGCGATTTCAACGCAAATTAATAGAAAATTATATCAGTTTTGACATTTCTCTAAAAGTAACTATTAAATTTGATTAGTTGGAAACAACCCAATTAGGATGTTAATGCACAATGTAACATTAACTTATCGGCAAAAAATATTTTACGTGTTATTTGATACCTATAGGTCATATTTATTATGACTTCTTCTGTCCCAGAAGTCCGATTTCAGAATATTAGGTACTCACACAAGATAGGAAGTAAAAATCAATTAAATGTCAAAGTCAATAATTTTATTCAATGATTAAAGTTCTATTCAATAAGCCACCTATTCCATCTAAAGGTAAGTAATTGTGTTGCAATTATTTGTTTCGCGGTCAAATATCTTATGAAACCTTTTGTGCAGATAAATTAGATTTCTACAAAGTTTCTTTAGAAAAAAAAACAGTTTAGAACTAAATTGAATTTTAACATAAGTAATATAGCACCTACTTGGTCTTAAAATTCTCGCTATGTCTTGTTAGATAGATATCCACAACCACGAGCCTGCAATCCGGGCAACATTCTGGATAAGGGTGGGAGAACCATGCTTCGGCAAAACGACGAATGGGCCGGCTCGACCGGGATGTTACCATAGCCTCACAGAATACCAGTAAAAAAAAGTCAAAATCATTTATTTCAATTAGACCACAGTAGGCACTTTTGAAAGTCAAGCAAAAAAAAAGAAGAAAAATAAAATATATTTCAAGAGGTTTAACTTTATGCGTTTCAGTCTGTCCTCTATCGAAGCTACTGGCTCGTTCCAAAGTGTAGATTACTATGGAGAAGAACGAGTAAGAAACTCCATGGTTACTCTTTTTCAATCAGTTTTAAAGTTCATTTCTTTGTTACATTATTTAATCGATTCAGATATGCGAGAATAGTGTAACACTAATATTCAAAGAAAGTTAACCTCATCCCCCAGGGTCGTAGAATAACAAAACGTTAACATTGTGTTTCGCCGTGTGAATGAGGTTATCGGAGGCCTAATATGTGTTCCCTCCGGACATCCTCAATCCCCAAATTTAATCCAGAACTCATTTAGTTCGTTTTCCTTTCCACCAGCCGGTGATCCGTCAGAAGCGTAAGATTTTGCAGCCGATGACTACAAAATAAATTATTAAAATTGGAATTCGACATAGTTCCAAAGTGAAACACACTTACAAAATTTATTAAAATTTTGGTTCAGGTAACCTAATATTTTATCTTATAGGCGTAAAAAGCCTTCAGAAGTTTGGCGCCACGAAAAAGTTCGATGGCCGATCACAAAGCAGCCGGTACCGTAAGCTTAGACGTCTCAAAACGTATGTAGGTGAATTATTCTAAACTTATATAGTTCCTTAATTATTTCAGGTCTGTATTAATTTTTTTATTAGCCCCATTTAATAGAAGGCGAATTACCTAATTTTCTCTGTAAGTATTATGACCAAATCCTTATAAAATACTGATGGTAACTGAAAATTTTGAAAAAAAAATGATTTTAAAATCTTATTTTTAGTATTATAATCTAACAACAATGCTCGATTTTTATTAGTTAACAATATTTAAAATGTGTAATATAACAAAAATGTTTAAGAACATATTATTTCAATCCATTCATTATCTATGCAGGAATTTGAAATTCGTGTTTCTTTGTGATACGCACACGGAAAAACAAACGAAAGGACTATTAGTCAGACATTTTTGGTAGATTACTTTATGTGTGTAAATAGGTCGTTTATGATAAACTGCAGCAGTCAAATATGCTGCTACTCATTGAGGGTAAGTTTTGAAGCAAGGAGTTGGTTTTTAGTTTAAGACTTCTCAACAATGTAAACGAAGCGTTAAATGCCCGATATTGGTAAAGATAACATTCAATTCACTAGCCGATTTAGTTATGTCTCTCTTTTGAAATAATAGATAAAGCGTTATTATATATTATGTTTTATTTATTTAATTACGCTTCAGTTTAACGAATAGAAAAAAATGTACATAAGGTGGATTTAATCCCATATTAATATGGCTTTCTCCGCTTGCCTATTTTCGTAGTTTTATAGAGAATTAAAAATTTGCTATTTAAAACATTAAAGTAATTAAACTAAACGTAATAAAGTAATTCGTTCTTAGACTAAGACAAATTAGTAGGAGTTACAGGTCATGCGCAGTAAGCAGGAGAAGAAACGGGTTTTTAGTCAGTAAGAGTCTATCACTCTTCCTCACAAAATCATTAGATTATTTTGCCCCTCAAAGAAAATACCAAGACCAATTGCACGAATTGCCGACAGATTTACCTTAGCAAAACCAAGCCATGTATAACTAATTCACACATTATATATTATTATTATTATACATACGAGTAGATCATGATGCACTAATCACTTCAGAGATCATTTCGTACCTGACTACATATAAATGTAAACTAATATTATAAATGCAAAAGTAATTCTGATTGTCTGTCTGTCTGTCTTTTCTTCACGCCTAAACTACTGAACCGATTTCTGTTTCATTTGGTACACAGACATAGTTTGGAACTCGTGAAAGGACATAGGATAGTTTTTATACCAAAAATCTGCAGGAAGTCACTATTTTACGCGAACGGAGTCGCGAGCAAAAGCTAGTAGATATATATAACCTATTTAAACAATATATTACTGGGGTTTTTATCAAGGTCACTTAACAGATACAGATACGTTCCCCTACCGTTTTATTGAAATATGTAATTGATACGGAAGTGTTAACTAAATTTTGATGTATCCGAGAGAATTGCACGCCATGATGAAAACCAATTGGCCAAATAAATGCAATGTTTTGTATTTACTTTAACATTTTAACAATACTGTTCTTAGATTTATCGACTGTTATAAATCTTTTAGATGTTTCTATGAAATTCTTGTGACGTATCGTTCATCGTCTGTGTAGTTAAAAAAATGTTTGTCTACCATATACCATATATATACCATATATATAATAATACACGATTCAATGTTATCTATACTTGCTTATAATATTATAAAGCGGATTTAAGTGTGGGAGTGGGTCGACGACACGAATGGGTCGGCTCGACCGGAGTGATACCACGGCCTCACAGAAAACCGGCGTGAAATAACCACAGTGTTGTGTTTCGCCGTGAAATTGAGGTTACCGGAGGCCCAATCCTTCCCCTCCCCCAATCCCTCCTCAATCCCTAAATCTCCAAATCCCTAAACCCTAAAAGGTCGGCAACGCACTTGTAACTCCTCCGTTGCGAGTGTCCATGGGCGGCGCTGATTGCTTACCATCAGGTAATCCGTCTGCTCGTTTGCCGACATTTTACATAAAAAAAACTGTAGAGTTATTTTGTTTGAACGCAGTCATCTCCCGAAGTACTGGTTCAAATTGAACAATTATTTTTGTGTTTATTAGTGCATTTATCGAATAACACATAGTATAAAGGTAAAGGTACTGTAAAGTGCACGGAAAAGAAAAAACAATTCTGTCTGTTCTTTCTGTTCCGTGATAAAGTGTTAGGTACTAGGGCGCGAAGATGGCCGCAACGAATGAAACTAACTATTAACCAAGTATGCAACGCTACAAATACTAACACTAAAACACCGGCAGGCAGGTACTGACTAGTTACAAAAACGTTCAAACAAAAGATTCGTAAATATGCAACTTGATATAATACATCTGTCTGTGTGTATCTATATGGCCATACGAATAAAAAGTGGGATTCGGACTCACCAATGAAGGGTTCTGTAACAATATCTACCTTTACTTATACCTAATAAATCTGTAAAGAGGTCAATTCTGTACATGAAATATATTTTCAAAATAACTATCAGGGGGTGATTAGTG